TTCTTCGTTCTGGTGATCTTCCTCTATAACTTGAGTTATATGGTGATTGATTTCTTGTATAATTTGTATTGTTCGGGAGTGGTTTTCCTGAACTGTTGTTGCTGTAGACTGTTTTGTTCGGTAGATTTTGATCTTTTTTCATGTATTGATAGAATGATTTATTTGGTTCTTTATATTTTTGAGGTTTATTTTGATTGTCTTGCTGTTTTTGTCTACATTCGGAAATACTATGTCCGTATCGTCGGCAATAATTACACCATTTTTTGAAAGATGGTTTGCCTTTAAAGTTTGGGTTCTTTTCGTAAATATTGAGTATTTCAGTGATTTTTTCAACGAGGTCTGTCTCTGATTCCTGTATATTATTAATATTAGTGGGAGTCGTTTCAATTCTGTTAACGTATTGTAATTTCAGATTTTCCGTTTCTTCTAGTTTCATCGTGATTTCTGCTTGTTCTAATTTGTCTACTAGTTTTCGAAAATCTAAATCGGGTTCTCGAATTGAAGAAGGATGGGATGCTCTCTTTTTTATTGCTATTTTCCTTAATTGTGGTGTTAAGGTCATCATTAAGATTTCTGTCATCTTTGTGTTTTTATAGTCATGTGTATTTAATGAATATGCTTTTCGAACTAGTGTTTCGATTCGTACTGCTATTTGCTTGATGGTTTCGTTTGGTAATCTGCGAATTTCATTACATAAAACTCTTTGTTGTTGTTTGTTTCTTTCGGAGTCAAACATTTTTGAAAATTCTTGTGTAAACCTTTTCCAGTTTGATTTTATTTCTAGAGGTAGTACTGAAAACCATTTTTGGGCTGCGCCATCTAAGGTTGTTTGTATTAACGCTGTGCGTCGATGTATCCAATTTTGATGTAGTGGCGTATTAATTGGTTCAGGTCCAATGTTTAAAATCAGGTTTGCTGTTACTGCATTTAAATAATCTTCTACAGAGTATTCAGGGTCTGTTCCTGTGAAAACCATTAAAGGTTTGTTTGATGTTATTGATGATCCACCCATAAGGTATGGATTCATTGTCATTTGTAATGATTCTGCTGCATTTGGCATTTGAGAAAAATTTGAAAGTTGGTTTCTTGTTATTTCATGTTGTTGGAGATAATATGGGAGTGGTATTTCATTTTGCATTTGTGATGGTTGATACGAGTGTGCAGTCATTGGATTTTGTTGTTGAATTGGTTGAAAAGATTGTGTATTAATTAGATTTTGTTGTTGAATTGGTTGTTGATGTTGTGCATCTATTGGTTGTGGAGAAAAATTTCTATGATTTGTACGTGTTCTCTGTATTCCTTGTCTACGATATTCTTGAGTATTTGGTGCAAATATATCTGGTTGTAAGAAATCATCATCTGAGGATAAATAATCCATTTGATAAGATGTTTGTTTTTTATTTTTATTTTGTTGAAAAAATGGGTAATTTTCACTGTGATCCTGTGGAGGATTTGTTTTGAAATTTATTGAATTAGGTTGGGTCATTGGGTTATCCCAATTTCGAGATCTTGTATATTGGTTAAAATTTCTTTGTGGTTGGTTATATGTTTTTGAGGGATGTGTATAATTATAATTATGGTCTGTAAAGTTGTTTCTAGTGAATGTTTTGCGTGTTTTTGATGGTATTGTCATGGGTCTGTATGTTTGGTAATCCATATGTGAATATTTAGGGGCAACCGAAGGTTTAACGGTTGATTGTAAGGTTACCTGTGTTTGTGAAGGATTTGTATTTCTTGGTGTTGTTAAATTTGGGCGTATTGGTGAAATACTTTGTTGTGTAGTTGTTGTGTGTACAATTTCTTCATTTATGAAGTGTGATGGTGTCTGGATATCTTGTTGAGTAAGATTCCTAGTTCCATTGAGGTTTTCATTGTGTATAACTGTAGAGTTTAAACTATTATTTTGTGTATCGGGCAAAAATGTATTATAGTTTAATGGTGTTGCATCAATGGTTAATGGTATTACTTTTACATAATCTCTTATGTAAGATATCGTACTTATTGCTTGACTTGAGATTGTTTGTGGGAAGCTTATAAATGCGGGATGAGACCATTCGGGGTCCCAAACATAATCTGATTGTTCTGTGATAGCGGTATCATCGTTCGAGTTTTGGGGTCTAAAATTTTTTCTTGCTTGTGCAATTAAATCAATATTGTGTGTGAAATAATCTATTATGAACCATGCCAAAATTTTTTGTAGATCGTGTTTTGTATGTTGTGAAACGTCGTCTTTCGTGAAATTTTCTTTAATGATGTTTAAATAACTAGAGAGTAGTGTGATTTCATGTCGTACTTTCAAATGTTTAGATGTTTCTGTCGGTGAGACATTTGTTATTGGGATTTCGTTTTCTAATATCGAAATATAACTATATATTATTGCGAAAACTTCATTGGTGAATATGGAGTTTGCTCTTTGTGAGTTATGATATTGGATGCTTTTTATATATTCTGAAAAAACTTTTGAAAATTCTAAATCAAGATCGTCTGTTTGAATTGTATATTTTCTATTATTATGGTTTGGTGAGGTGAATTCTATGGAGTAGATTCCATACTGTTGTGTTATGTTGCATATATCTTTTAAGTAGTGGTCTATGATTTGTCTTTTGATTTTTACATCTGGGAACTCTGTTTTACATGGACTGATTCCGGGTTCAAATAAATTTAATAGTAAATTTTTGCAAAATATATGCTGTCCTCTATCAGTGGTTGCATCTACTATAAAAGGAAAGATTTCATCATCATCTGGACTTTCTTCACCTGGGGTGTGCGTTGAGCTCATTTTTTCGTTCGATGACTGTTAATATGTAATTATTAATGTGTCGAATTGGTTGATTCCAATTGTATAAATGTACTGGTTTGTGTTTATACTGCTTTTTTATTCTTCTTTTTCCTCTTTTTGATGAATTTGAAGTTGTTTCTGAGTCAGAGAAATATAATTGATCGTGAAGTGGGCAATTTTTATCTATTGATTCTTTTAGTTTGTAAAGTTCGTCTAAACTGTTGGTTTCTGATTCTGAAAATGCGTTTCGATTTTTTGAAAATCTTGCTCGTGTTATTTGTCTTTGTTTCGTTATTATTTTTCTTTTTAGTGTTTGTCGTTTTGTTCGAATGTATCCAACTGTTTGTGTATGAGGTGTGATTACAAGATCGTATTTTTTGTTATCTATTTCACAATTGTGTAAAACGATTGTTTGTTTATTTCCTAGGTTTTTAAATGACATAAGGTTTAGGATGACGGATGCAAAAGGTTGTTAAATGGTTTCTATTTTCTTAAACTGTTAGTTCTTACGATTTTTTGGTTAGCTTAACCTGGGTCTGTTTGTTCAGGGTTGGAGAGAAAAGTATATCGATTCCGAAGAATGATTTTTTACTTTCTCGTGGCTAGTATAAGTTAAGGTGTTAACTTACTTAATCTTACTTAGGGGTAGTGATTGTGTTCAAGGGTTGGAGAATAGTAAATCGATCCACAAGGTTCAGGTATAATTAGAACGCGAGTAGTTCGTTAGATACTATTTTAAACTTACTAAGTCTAAGATTTATCCTGGGTCTGGTAAGAGGGGGGGTCAAGTGAAGGATGAATAACCGAAGTTCTTCACTATTTATCCTAATTTGAATGATTAGTTTTGTTTAAAAATTTCTATTAGTCTTAGGTCTTTAGAAAGGGTTGGGTAGTGAATCGACGTTTGAGGTCGTTAGACACTAATTAAGTGGGTGGGGGAGAACAAAGTTGTTCTGTTTGATCCAAGGATAAGCCTTGATGATCAAATTTGAAATTAAATTAAGTAGAAAATGATTTAAGATCCAAGGATAAGCCTTGATGATCTGGTTTTAAAATTAGCTGAATTTAAGTTTTAATAAAATTTTAAATGTGTGTAAAGGAAAGATTTAGTGTTTTGATGATATTAGTGGGTTTATGATTGCTGTTATGTTTTAGGTGATGGAGCTGGAACAACAGGATGATTTATGATTACTAACCATTTATTGTCATGCTACTAATTTTTATTTTTTATTTTTCAATAAATATTTTTCAAACATGTTTTGTATATTACTGCAGAGTTTTAGGAAAACGATCTTAGATCTTTTTATCAATCGTTATTGTATATTAATAATTTTGTTTAGCGCCTGAAATGATTTTGAAGATTAACTTCAAGGTTTTATGTTTGCAAATGAAAATCTAAATTCATTGCCAGTAGTATTCTAAATATAAAAGTTTGTTCTGGTTTTTGCCTAACTATCATATAGCTATATGGCAAGTTTCTACTTTGTCGTATGTCGTCTCTGGTTCGAGGTCTTCTTCCAATTCCGGGTAGTTCTGTTATGGTTCGGAATATTGGCTCTGATCTATTGAGTCGTAGAGACATTTCGATTAAATTATTGTCGTATAACATTTTGTAAATGTTTTTGTCTAATTTCTAATCTATTTTGGTTAATTCTAAGCTATTAAGGTCTTGTTCGAGACTTATGGTCGCACCAGATGAGTTAGGCTCGAGTTGGTTAACTCATAGAGTAATTTCGGATAGGGTACACCGTCTGCTCGTCACGCTATCTTATTTTCGGCCGGATAGATTCGTGCAACTTCTTAGTCTAATACCGATCCTAATCTTACTCTTATACTATCTAGTCTCAGGTTGTTTAACTAGTCTCTGCTAGGCTCAATAGATCTAGGGTATACTGGTTTATTTCGGCTGCTGAAGTGCTCGGGAGAGTCCAACTAATTTCTAAGTTAAATTCAAATCTCTCTGGTGCTGAAATTACAAGTAACTTCAGCACTTACAAATAAGTGGGTTGTTAGTTAGATGGATCATGATTGGTTAATATTAAATACTTTACATTGGTAAAATATCTAAATTATCCAATCATAAAATGTAGTTTAGATCAGGTTCCAGAATGTCTAAAAGCACTTTGCGCCACTTTTGCTCTATATAACTGTTTGTACTGGCCCCATCTCAATGCTTCAATTACGAATTGGTGGGAGCTAATATGAGTATTCAACTTTTTAGCTACTGAAGCAGATATTGGACCGGATGGCCTCACATATCAGCAGAGGAGACGTGCCCTGAACTCGCACAACAGGTGGCGGAATGGACTCAAGTGGAGGGACCGGAACAGGGAGAGCTTCAGTGGATACCCGGTGGGCATGAACAAATTAGAATGGAGTGAACAGCTGGCACTCACCGCCAAACATGTGAGGTCTAATCAGGCAAACAAGTTAAGGGTCTAATGAAACTTATACTTAATAAGGCATAATCCCCGGTGGAAAACTGCTAATCATCCCATACATGGAAAACTGCCACTCATACAATTTCCCAAATATGAAAAGCCACTAAACATACAAGTTCGTATATATGAAAAATCGGCAATCGTACACCTTCTCAAAACTGGAAAACCGCGAATCATACATTTTTCCGTATATAAAACCGCTACTCATACGATACCCCACTTATGGAATACCGCTATTCTTTTTAAACTACCATATTTGGAAAAACGCCTAGGTGGTGTCGTATATATGGAAAAGCGGTAATCATGAGTTCTTATGTATGAAAAAACGGTAACCATACAGTTTCTCTTGAACTGAAAATCGCTAGTCATACAATTTTTCTTTTATATAAAACCGCTAGTCATACGGTACCCCTTATATGGAAAGCCGATATTCTTTTAAACTACCATCTATGGAAAAACACTTAGATAGTGTCGTATATATGGAAAACCACTAATCATAAGAGTTCTTATATATGAAAAAACGGTAATCATACAGTTTTTCTTGAACTGAAAACCATTAGTCATTAATTTTTCTTATATGTAAAACCGCTAATCATACGATATCCCATATATGGAAAACCGCTATTCTTACAAACCACCATGTATGGAAAAAACGGTAACATTTTTTCCCTTATATGGAAAACCGCCTATCATACAATTTCCTATGCATCGAAAACCGTTAATTATACATTTCCCATATACGGAAAACCGCTAATTATACTTATTACTATGTATGGAAAATGGCTTGTCATGCAACTTTCCATATATGGAAAACCGCTCACCATACAGTTTCCCATGCATAGAAAACCGGTAATCAGACAAAATCTCCTATATGAAAAACCGCTAATCATACAAGTTTTTTTTTGCTATCAAAACCGCTAGTCATACATTTCCCCATATATTACGAGGCCAACTGTATGTTTTGCGAATTGTAAGTGGATTCCGCAACCATCCAAAATCAGATTTGGCGCGGAATCAGCGAATTTGCCAATTGATTTTACCTTCTTTGCTGTTTTGGACTCCATGGACAATTAGCTAAAACACTGTACTGCCCAAAACTGTTTGTGGATTCCGGAATTGTTTGTGGATTCCAAAAGCTTAAGTGAGGAACACAGAAAGGGTTACATCGTTTACATAAAACTAACTTAAAAGTCTCTAAAATTTAATCATAGAACAGATAGAACCATAAGGTACTCAGCCAAAAAGTCATTCGATGACGAATTTCTCTTAGAACCGCTCGTTTTTGAAAGAGAATGCGTTCCTATAAGGATAATTATCAAGAGCGATGGAGCAAAACTCAATGACTTTTTAAGTACAATTCTTATGGAACTGTGGTTAGTCATTTTGGATTCGCCCCTGATCAAACGAGCGAACTATGATATGGTTCTAGCAAATGTTTATTATGGTAGCGGAAAGCCCAATTTCAAAGTTTTCGAAAAATTTGAATTTGAATTTAGAGATCTTTGCAGAATTGATACCGGACACAGGGATTTTTTTTGCGATTCGAATCAATTTTTTTGTAGTGGATCTCAGAGCGAAAAACGCCATTCTAAACATGAAAGAGTAACGAATTCTATGGGTGCAAAAAGTAAATGACCGGCATGATTACTCTCATTACTTTAAAATAGTTACTTAAACAACTGAGTCTTTTTAGAATTCCTCACAGGCAGCCCTGAACAGAAATAGAGAGAAACTAAAAATCAGAAAAATGAAGTTTTAGATGACGAAAAAAAAATTTAAGGATTTTTGAGGGCGAGTAAATTTTTTTCCGTAATACCACAATTGTCTCTTACTGCACCTATTGATGCCAAGCATCAGTTCTTGAACAACTTCACTGGGTTTCTTTGTACAAGATTGCCACAGAGTTCCAAAATTGATGCTAACGAGCGTATAAGTCAAATCAAAACGCCACATGAATTCGAAAGAACAGTTCGATCGCTTGAAGACCGCGCGCTTTTCAAGGCAAACGAATGAAAATTTTGCGTCGTCTGTTCACTTCTCATTTTTCCCTGTCAGTCCTAAAGCGCGATCACGAAAACTTAATAAATTGTTTCTTGCGATGAGAACGTTGAACGAAACTAATTAACACAGCCGCTTCTGTGGTGCCTTGTTATTTGAATTTTGCAAAAGTATGTTACAAAAAATAAAGGGGATAATTTTGGCCATTAAAATTACCACCTTCTCCAATATCTCGGCTGGCAAACTGAACTAATTGGGCCTCTTTGGACAACGTCTGCTTCCATGTTCGAAAATGCAAATCATTACCTGTTGTCTACATTTACTGGAACTATCAATCATTGTAGTATACTTGCAACCAGATATATCAGATTTAAGGTTTTAAGTAAAGCAATCATACATGAAGATTGGCATAATTTGGCTATTTTTTCTTGAACGACCATTTTTTTTTTCAAAAATAATTTTTGTTTATTAGAAACAGATGAAGTCAGATCAGTCAGGGAGCCATATCCAGACAGCAAAACTTCTTCCGTGACGTTTCAAAGTTTTATATCAATTTCTGTGCGTGCAATCGATGCTCAGGCGAAGAGAACTGCGTAGCTATCGGCGTTAATGGTATCATATTTATTGGACGCATTGATTTCTTCATTTCCTTGGTTGAGTGCTGATCATTCGAAAATTTTAAAATTCTGAAAAATCTTCAATAATTAGATCATGAAATTGACAATCCAGAGCTGTTGCCTTTCGGATATATTGCTGAGCCAACTGCAAGAAAGTCAGTGTTTCCCATTGATTTGATATCTCATAAACTCTTTCCCGTGTATCATAAAGAACAACTCGTTTTAATCACTACATTTTGAGCACGATTGATAAATGTACTTTGTCTCTGAAAGAAATAAGAGTGTCTAAACTTCGTTTTTCGAAATATTCTATAATTTAAGGCACTGTTTGCTAAAATTGTTATTTCATTTTCGTGATAATTCAAGTTCTTTGATGGACAACTTCACTTTCAGTGACGTTTGGATCATAACTTGAACAAAAAACATTGCAGACAAAAACCACATGAAACCAAGCTAGTTGAGAGTCTAATGATTGTCTATGGTCCTCCGAAAAGATGGAAAACCTTTTTGGTCTGATAGTGAGAATGCATTTGGAGGTTATTTAGGTTTTTTTTAGGTTGAGGCTAATAGAAAATTTACTGTCAACTAAATCGCTCAAAATCCACGACATAGGCGGTTTTCAACAATGCAAATTGGTGGCAGATGTTACTTCTAAACTTTTGAAACAGTCGATTTATACCAACAGTACCAAAAAATCTGGAAAACTTCATTTACAGTAACTTTTTTGGAACATGCCTGAGTATAAAAATCGATGTAAGCTGCAAACCATATGATGCCAAGCACATCCTAGTTTTTGCGGCTTGTTGCTCCAAATTCGTTTGAAGGATTTTTTTTGGTTTTTCAGCTTAAACGTTTCTGATTCAAGTTTTTTCCGGCTTAAAATAGAGTAAAATTTTTATCGTTTTCAGATAGGAGTATATGATCTTCAATTTCAATCAGTTATCTCATATCCACATTTTATGAAATATTCTATTGTGTCTTTGAAAAAAGTGTTACTTTTTTTCTTTCCTCTACCTTTGCAAAAGGCCAGTATATCGCTGGATCTAGTGAGAACAGGGAATATAAAATCAAAATTGGCAGTAGACTAAAAAGTTGCACAAATCTAATCGGCCAAAAATAAGACAGTGTGACGAACAGACGGCGTATTTTATATCCGAAACTGCTCAGTAGTAGAAGGGTGAGGGAGAGTGGGGGTTGGTGGGTGACCCCCATGTATTAAGATAGGCTATTGAGTATCCGGTCACCCAGCTATGTGTTAAGATTGGGTATAGAGTCTACAATGTATTAAGGTAGGGAATAGGTTTCCCATGTATTAAGATGGTAGGTATCAGATGGTAAGTTTCAGAAAAATTTTTGGCGCCCGATCTTACCATGTTTTAAGATGGTGTTTAGATTTCCCATGTATTAAGATAGTGTATAGATATCCCTATGTATAAGGATTAGAAATTCCTTGTATTAACATAGGGAATAGATTTCCCAACGTATTAAGATAGGGAATGGTAAGGTTTCAGTGTGATGGTAAGAAAATAGTAAGAAAAACGGTATTTTTGGATTTTGTGTGGAAATGTCTAGTTTTTTCGCGAAAATCTCGGCATGCGTTATGTAATTCTTGAGTGTTACATGTAGAATGTGCAATGAAGAGAATATGTTTATTGGTTCATGGTAAGTCCATGGTAAGATGTGCAAAAATTTGGAAATGCTTATAAAAAAATTGATATTTTTTCAAAAAACTTCAAAACACGATATGATTTAATATAATTTGACTTAATAACTATTTTATTAGATGATCCTTTTTTTGAAACTGTACTCAATCTAGCTTAAACTATGCTGAGACCTACTGAAACCTTAAAAAATTTTGGAAAAAATTGCAAAAATTTCAAGTTTTTGGAACAAACTGCAAGTTTTTGGAAATAACTGCAAAAATATCAAGATTTTGGCTAGTTTTTTGTTGCTTTTGATCTAATTGAAAGAAAAGTAAATACGTTAAGAGTTTAAAATTAAGCTCAAATTGTATTTCAATTGGCATCATGTTGAGACACTGATACAAAACTTTGAATAGACATATGGAATTTTCCAAATTTTTCTCACAAAAAATTGAAATACGATAAATTTAAGCCTTGTTTGAGTAACAAAGCGGGTTATATAGTGCTCTCAACATTAACAAGAAAGCTCATAAAAGCTGAATTGAAATTGAAACTTGTGGAAGATAGTGAAAATAACCGTAATTTTTAAGAAAATAAAATAAAAATTATTCAAATTTATCAAAAATTTTCCATTTACAACCTTTTAATTGGATATTTAACTAATTTTTTGTCCAATTCAGGGAGAATTGAAATAGGACTCTCAATAC